ACTGATTAGTGCCCTTCGCTCTGGACCGCTCAGTTCATTCCATCCTGCTACCATCAGGATGAATGCTACAATAAATAATGAAACCCAACCAGCTATACTGATGAGGCATCACCTGAGCCACGAGCCTCAGGAGACACCGTTCTGCCTTCAGGCATCCAGTTTTAACTTTAAGTGATATTAGATTTGTCAAAAAATCATCTTAGTCTCAGTATAAAAGATAAAATAAATAGTTGCAAACAAATGGAAAGAAGAAAAGAAACAAAATTGTATACAGTAAGAATTCAGTCCGTACCGCAAAGAAAAATGTGTCACCATTACAAAACTCAACTTGTTAACGCTGTTTGAGGAAATAATCACTGCTTACCCAAATGGCAAAATCTCTTAAAAGTCCTTCCATATGTAAGACTGCTAAGGTCCTTCAAGGACTGCAGAGGCACGGAGTAAGAGAATTACATTTTCTTCATTCTGCTCACTACAAAATTTGAAATGAGACTGCCTTGTTTTTCTTTAGGCACTATGTGTAGTTCCTGCTTAATAATAAGCCTGGTTTTACGCCAGTGTGCTCAATAAAAACATAGTGTGCAATAACATGAAAATATGAAACTGTGTGGCGTTAAAAGTGGCACTTCGGTACACAAACCTACATGACGGAATTAACACATAATTATTAGAGCTTGGCTTTCTGTTCTGTGACCCCACTTAGTGAAGGCGGGATTACATTAGGAATACTTGTTACGTTAGTGTAAATGTAGTTCGTAGTATTTGGTAGGTGCTGATTACGACTGTCGTGCCGGAAACTGGCTGTAGTGACAATTCTCGTAATGCCTCAAGCCATACAAACAAACAAACAAACAAAGTCACCGCCACTGGCTACCTTGCCATTCTTCCCAATTCATTATTTACAGTTATCCACCCATTCGGTGCCGAGAAATTGAAATGGCGTCGACAGAGAACTCAGATCCCCATCCCCCAGTTTAGAATTGTTACGGAATCTTTGCTGGTCTCCATCTTTACTACGAAAATTACCGTAATAGCAAACATAATATCAGGACACTACACTGATTAAGTATTTCCATGGAACATACTCTTCTTTGAGAAACTCACAGTCGAATAGGTAAGAAAATAATTCTCCTCCTTTTGTGGAAGAATATTTGCCGTGTCTTTTACGACCTAGAAATGTTTATAAAGCGTCGGGCTCGTGATTAAAATTCATTAGAAAATCATTAATTTGTGACTTCC